AGTGGGGAAAATTGGGGGGGAATGGGGGGAAATTGGGGGGGAAATGGGGAAAATTGGGAAGAACCAGGGGAAATGGGGGAAAAGTGGGGGGAAATGGGAAAAATTGGTGAGGGAAAATGGGAGAAAATTGGGAAGAACCAGGAGAAATGGGGGAAAACTGGGGGAAATGGGAAAAATTGGGGGGGAACTGGGGGAAAATTGGGAAAACGGGGGGAAAATGGTGGGAATTGGGAGGAAATGGGGAAAAAATGGGGGAAATTGGGGGAAAATTGGAAAAATGGAGGAAAAGGGGAAAAACTGGGGGGGGGAATGGGAGAAAATTGGGAAGAACCAGGGGAAATGGGGAAAATGGGAAAAATGAGGGGAATGGGAAAAAAGGGGGGGAAGTGGGAGGAAATGGGAAAAAAATGGGGGGAAATGGGGAAATTGGGGGAAATGGGAAAAATATGGGGGAAATGGGGAACAGTAGAGGGAAATATGGGAAAAATGAGAGGGAAATGGGGGAAATTTTGGAAGAATATAGGGGGAAATTGGGGGAAAATGTGGAAAAATGAGGGAAGTGGGGGGAAGTGGGAAAAATGGGGGAGAATGGGGAAAATTGGGAAAAATGGGGGGGGAATTAGGGAAAACCAGGAGGAAATGGAGAAAAAATTGGGGAAAATGGGGAAAAATTGGGGAAAAGTCAGGAAAATGGGTGGAAAATTTGGGGGAAAATGGGGAAAAGTTGAGAAAAATGGGTGGGAAAGTTGGGGGAAAATGGGGAAAATTTGGTGGAAATCAGGGAAAATTGGGAAAAATGGGGAGGGGAAAGGATGAGAATGGGGAAAATTTGGGCTAAATGGAGGGAATGGGGGAAAATGGGGGGCAGGGATGGGGGAAATGAGGAAAAATTGGGGAGAATTGCAGGAAAAGGGGAAGGGGAGGGCGAAAATGGGGCAGGAAAGTGCAAAAAGAGGAGAAAAAGGGGGAAAATTGGGGGCTCTCTGTGCCCCCCCATTTTTGGGGTTCTGAACTTCCCCCAGTTTGGGGGTTTGATGAGTTTCTCACCTTATTTTTGGGCTCCTGGTATTTTTTCTCCCATTTTTGGGGTTCTGACACACCCCCCACCGTTTTTGGGGTTCCTGACACGTCCATTCCATATTTTTACATTCCTGACAAGCTGCTCCTCAGTTTTGGGTTCCTGACCGGTTCCTCTCTTCCCCCACGTGGATTTTGGGGTCCCTGCTGTGTCTCCCCCTCATTGTTGGGGTTCTCTCCCCATTTTTGAGGTCCCTGATCCTTCTTTCCCCATTTTTAGGGTTCTCTCCCAAATTTTAGGTTCTCTCTCTGTTTTGAGGCATTCTCTCCCATTTTTGTAGTTCTCTACTTGAGTTTTGGGGTTTTGTCTCTCCCCATCTTTGGCGTTCTTTCCCACATTTTAGCTGTCTCTCCCATTTTTTGGGTTCTCCATTTTTGAGGTTCTTGTCCATTTTGGGGTTCTCTTCCCTTTTTTGGGTTCTCCACTTATGGTGTTGTCTCCCCATTTTTTGTGTTACTTCCCCTTTTTGTTGGATTCTCCATATTTGGGGGTTTGTGCCCCATTTTTGGGGTTCTGTGTCTCCCCATTTTTAGGTTTCTCTCCCCTTTTTTGGGGTTCTCCAGTTTTGGGGTTCTCCCTGGTTTTGAGGTTCTTGTTTTTGGGTTCTCCCTGTTTTTGGGGTTCTCTCCCCGTTTTTGGGGTCGCTGACTCTGCTCTCCCCCCCAGCCCTGCAGCTGCCCCTGGTGAGCGAGGGGGGCCGGGGGGGGCCCCCCGAGAGCCCCCAGCCCGCGCCCCCTCCCCGGCCCCGGCAGATGCTGGGGCTGCCCCCGCCCCCCTTCCTGGTGCCGCGCAGCCTGGAGAGGTGAGGACACGCCCCCGAGCCCTGATTGGCTGATGGGGGAGAGCCTGGGAGCTGATTGGCTGACTGGGGAAAGGCTGGGTGCTGATTGGTTGATGTGGGAGAGCCTAGGAGCTGATTGGCCAATGGCTGAGAGCCTGGGTGCTGATTGGCTGATGCGTGAGGACTTGGGAGCTGATTGGCTGATGGAGGAGGCCCTGGGTGCTCATTGGCTAATGTGGGAGAGCCTGGGAGCTGATTGGCCAGAAGGGCTGGGGGATCCTGTGCTCTGATTGGCCTGAGGTTTGGGGAGATACTGTGCCCTGATTGGCCTGCGGTTTGGGGAGATCCTGTGCTCTGATTGGTTAGAGGTTTGGGGAGATCCTGTGCTCTGATTGGCTTGAGGTTTGGGGAGATCCTGTGCCCTGATTGATTAGTGGTTTGGGGAGATGCTGTGCCCTGATTGGTTAGAGGTTTGGGGAGATCCTGTGCCCTGATTTGTTAGAGGTTTGGGGAGATCCTGTGCCCTGATTGGTTAGAGGTTTGGGGAGATACTGTGCCCTGATTGGCCTGAGGTTTGGGGAGATCCTGTGCTCTGATTGGTTAGAGGTTTGGGGAGATCCTGTGCTCTGATTGGTTAGAGGTTTGGGGAGATCCTGTGCTCTGATTGGCTTGAGGTTTGGGGAGATCCTGTGCTCTGATTGGTTAGAGGTTTGGGGAGATCCTGTGCTCTGATTGGCTTGAGGTTTGGGGAGATCCTGTGCCCTGATTGGTTAGAAGTTTCCGGAGATGCTGTGCCCTGATTGGCCTGAGGTTTGGGGAGATCCTGTGCCCTGATTGGTTAGAGGTTTGGGGAGATCCTGTGCCCTGATTGGTTAGAGGTTTGGGGAGATCAAGTGCCCTGATTGGCCTGAGGTTCATGAGAATCAAAGCTTGATTGAATGGATGTCCAGGGGAATCCTGTGCCCTGATTGGCCAGCAGCCCGGAGGGATCCCAGGTTCACATTGGCCAGAGGTGGGTCGCACATCCTGATTGGCTAGAGCTCTGTGGAGACCCTGTCCTATGATTGGTCACTGTTATGGAGAGATCCTGTCCTCTGATTGGCCCCTGTTATGGAGAGATCTTGTCCTCTGATTGGCCCACAGATGATCACATACTCTTATTGGCTAGGGGAACATCATGTGACGTGGTTGACCAGAGGCTTTGGGGGGGTTGCTGTGCTCTGATTGGCCAGAGATTCTGAGAGATCCTGTGCCCTGATTGGCCAGAGCTCGGTCAGGATTCCGTGCCGTGATTGAGTAGAACTCCAGGGAGATAACGTAAATTGATTGGCCAAGGAGGAGGTTTGTGCTGATTGGCTGGATGGACAGAAGTCTGCAGGTGGTGATTGGTCGGAGTTTCCAGGAAGAACTTGCGCTCTGATTGGCCAGAGATTCAGTGGTACCGTGTGTTCTGATTGGCTGGGCAGGAGGGTTTGTGCAGCGTTTGGTCAGGTGTTCAGAGCCTGCGGTGCTGATTGGCTGCTGCTCTGAGGGCTTTTAGGCCCTGATTGGCCAGAGTTCGGGGAGTGGTGTGTTCTCATTGGCCAGGAATGAGACTACTCTCTTTGGGGTGATCTTGAGCAGTGATTGGCTGGAGCAGAGCTTGCAGCTGCTGATTGGCGGATAATTCAGAGGATCCCAGTTGCTGATTGGCCTGGTGGGCAGGAGAGCTGTGTGCTCATTGGCCAGCAGTGTGAGATGCTCCTGGGTGCTGATTGGCCAGGCAGGCAGGATTTCCTGTCCTGCGATTGGCCAGAGCTGTGATTCCCTGTGTGCTTGTTGGCCAGGATCCCGCCATGCCCTGACCTGATTGGCCAGGATCTCCCCATGCCCTGACCTGATTGGCCAGGCTCTTCTGTGATTGATTGGGCTTTGTCCTGCGTTGATTGGCCAGTGTTTCTCCCAGTGCCCTGAGCTGATTGGCTGAGCTTTCCCCATGCTCTGAGCTGATTGGCTGAGCTCTCCCATTGCTCTGAGCTGATTGGCTAGGCTCTCCCTCTGCTTTGAGCTGATTGGCTGAACTCTCCTGTTGCCCCCATAGCATTGAGATTGACCAGAAGCTGCAGGAGATCATGAAACAGACGGGGTACCTGACCGTGGGGGGACAGGTGAGTCAGGGGTACCTGACCGTGGGACAGGTGAGTCAGGGGTACCTGACCGTGGGGGGACAGGTGAGTCAGGGGTACCTGACCGTGGGGGGACAGGTGAGTCAGGGGTCCCTGACCGGGGGGGGACAGGTGAGTTAGGGGTACCTG